ATTTTGAGACAGGTTCTCACTAAGTGACTAAGTTTCCCAGGAGCTTTGCTCCAACTCCCAATCCTCCTGTCTCAGCCTCTCAGACTGCTAGGATTGCAGGTGCACATCCTCATGCCTGGCTCTGCCTTGTTCTTAATAGTACACATTCCTGAAAGCTTATTTCAGACTTGTCCCTGACCTCCAAGCTGAAGACGGGGGCTCTGTACCTGTTGATAAGCTTCCTTTATTATGTTTAAGATCTCTGGACTCCCTAGTTTCTTGTCTGGAGGAATGCCTTGATGGCAAGATTTGTAGGACTACAAAGCGTTGTGGACTGTGGCCGTCATCTTTGAATGTCTTGTTACGCCTGCCAAATCAAACTTCCTTCCAGCCCTATCTGCTGCTGTTACCTTCCAGCTGGAAAGGACTGCTGTCTGTCTGCTTTACCCACTGCAGTTGGACCACTAGCTACAGTCCTGAGGTACCAGAGTGTAGAGGTCTTCCCTGAGCACAAGAAATTTTTCTGAGACTTAGGCATATATAAAATCTTTCACCAAATTGAGTACTAATGAATAAAATTCCCTAGAGGTAACTTAAAACTCTTTTGGAGTACACTCCTTCACCTTGTAGTATAGTTTTCTATGATGTGAATTCTGGCACCCTCTGCTTTTCTCGCTTCCAGGCAGGCCTGCCACTCTAGATGGGTTCTTGGGAGAGGAGGAGCACCTAGTTACACAAAACTTATAAAATTCATTAAAAAATTAAAGCTTAGAAATCAGTTTCTCCCAAATATTGTTGTACTAAGAAACATTACATAATAGAAAAGGTGCCTCTCAGAAAGGGGCCTCTCCGCTACTTACCATGTGGTCTTGATTCAGTTGTTGATGTTTGGCCTGTTATGATTAAATTAGATAATCTATGTAAAGCACTTGACATATTTTAACTTTTTTTTTTTTTTTGAGACAGCATCTCACTACATAGTTCAGACTTGGCTTGAGCTCTCTAGGTAGGTCAGGCAGGCCTCAAACTCCAGGCAGTCCTCCTGCCTCAGCCTCCCATATGCTGGGATTCCAGGTGTGTGCCACCATGCCGAGCCTCATATTTTAACTTTTAAATATTAGATATTATTTTTTTCAGACAAGGAAATTAAAACCCAGGAGTGCTAAGAAACTGGTTGGTGGAATAGCTGAGTCACTGTGTGTCTGAAGAGGCAGGGACCTCAGCTCAGCCTGGGCAGGATTTTGATGTAACATCTCAGAAAAGCATTTCAGGATATGTCAGTGACATATATAGCCTGATTTATTAACTAACCAGTTAGTGAGGGGAAACAGGAAGGGACTTAAACTTGGGGAGGTGAGGGGATCACAGTTCTGATAAAGATCAGACTGGTCTGTCTACAAAAGGAAGGGTGTACCTTTTAAGCAGTTGCAGGGATGGGCTAGAGTCTAGGTAGTCATCTCGTGGTTTTGCCAGGTGGCTCCAGATAAGTCCTTATTTGAAGGGGCAATCTGGTCTCTGTGAGGTGATTATTTCTGCTTGGGGAAGTCTCAGTTTTGCCAAGGCTATGCTGGAATCCAAGGGGAGGCAGGTTTAGGTGACTGGAGACTTCTAGGCACCCTTGGTAGTTGAACGTTGCTGTAAATCTCTCATCTTGGCTCCTCAGTCTTGAAGAGAGACGAGATAGGTTATGGAAATTTAGGGATAGTCAGCTTTGCACAGTGCTGACAGTTTTTAGACAGACACTCTCTAATGATTAACATGCCTCTGGGCAGAGTTAGCAGGGATTTAACCTAAAGTTTTAGTTAGATACAAAATTAGTAAGTAGTTAACAATTGGTATCTGAGGACTCAAGTGAAGCGTAACTATTTTTTAGCAAAAGCAGTTTTTAAATCCCTGGTTGTTTTAGGAAAAAAACACAAATCACGCTTTTAATGAGTAACTGGTTGAAGACCCAGTACCTGCCCTTTGTCCCTTGGTGGCTTCTGGCTGACTCAAGTCCTACTCCATTCCCCGGGGCTCTGCTGCTGCTCCTCATCCTGAGAACTCACAGTCTAAAGGTCCAGAGCGCTACTGTGAAGACCACGGGAAAGTTAAGTTATGATCACACAATGCAGTCTGCATGATCCAAGTCGGAGAGTTTAGCTTTGGAACGATAAAAAATAAGGAATCATTTTTAGCATAATGATTTGTTTTCAAAAGGCTGCCATTAATTCTTCCTTGAGACTTAGTGGCTCAAAGCAGTTTAGGCCTAAAAGGAATTCGATCAGAGGCAGTTTTTAACAGGAAAACAAGCAGTAAATGGGCAGTACGAGAAAGTTGAGAACAGAATGGTGGTTACCAAAGGCTGGAAACAGCAAGAGGGAGTGAGGGGAGGGTATCTGTAGGGGCAGGAAGTGTGTGCCGTGGCACAGGAGGGGGCTGCGGAGAATGATGATGTGCAGTACATTTCCAAAAGCTAGAGGGGTTTAGCAGGATTTCATCATAAAGATATGATAAATGTTTGAGGAGATAGACATGTTTAACCTACTTTAAACATTACATAATTACACAATCAACACGTCACCTGGTATCCCATAAATATGTGCAATTGGTAGGCTTCTGGGTATTATTTAAGAATAAATTTAATAAATTTAAAACAAAATATATATATCCAAATTCAACTCATTGTTCTGCTTTCCTTCGTAAATTCAGTGTCCTTGTCAGAGTGAGAAAGGCCAAGAGACAACTTTGAGAGCAAATATGTGGTTTGTCAACCACTAGTCATTTTTAAAATATTTTTAAAATTTTAAAATATTTGTACAAACTAATTACATTATTTCAGCCAACTGAAAACACAATGACTTCTTAATTCTTCCAAAATATGAAAACTAAGCTGTTTTATATACTCATTTAAAAAGGTTATTGAACTCTGGGAAGACAAAATGGTTGTAGATGTCCTTGTAGATTTTCACATGTTAACATGCAGCTATGTATAAAATCCTATATTCATGGACAGTGGAATGATGGATTTGGAGGCAGAAGTCAAAATTACTTCAGCTGTTTTTTCTCAAAGTGGGGGTCAGCCATATACATAGAAGTATGACTGAACAGTCAAAGACAAGACTTTAACAAATACTTTCTAAAAAAAAAACCAGGTTGTTAGATGGCTCTAAACCAGAAATTCTTGGTGTAGTAGCCATGTGTTCCAGTGGCAAATACATTCGTAAATCGTGATGCATGAAATTACTATTTTACTTATCGGTAACTGAAGTAAAATATTTGCAAATGGGAAGGGGATGGAGAGATGGAGGGAGGGGTGGAGGGCAGGGAAAGGGGATGGAGAAAGGAATTAAAATGTACATGTGGTGATTCTATACAAGGAATATACCCATCAACTGAGGAATGGATGAAAAAGTTGTGGTATTTTTTACATAATGGAATATGACTCAGCTATAAAGGAGAATATTCTCAAGGCTTTTATAGGTAAATGGACACAGCTAAAGACCATACTTGTAAGTGAAATAAATCAGACCTGCATGTATAAACACCGTATTGTCTCACTAGTGTAAGAACCTGAAAGACTGAATACAATCTAGGAGGTACAATAGACATTGTGAAACGAAAGGAAACTGCTCAGAAGGAAAGAACAACTGGGATGAGGGAAAAGAGAAGAGAAAGAAGGGGAAAAATATGTATATATGTATACACAGGATAGCTAACATAGTTGTACTACTGATTTCTGCTTTATCAAAAGGAACAGTTAATGCTTAAGTGTTTGATCAATCTTACATGTCTATATTTGTTTATCTGAGTATACAATTTGAAGGTATCAATATGTAATACAACAACCATTGTTAATTTCCTATCACCTTGTCTGAAATTCTGTATTGCTTGTATTGTTTTTGTTATTTTCTAAATGTATGTGTGTTTGTTAATATGTTTTCGCTCTTTTATCTTTAAAATAAAATGAAATAAAAGAATGTAAACATTATATACTGCAAACATGTACTAGTAAAAATAAATTTTAAAAATTCCAAATTTAAAATATTTGGAAATGGAACTGTTTCCCAAAATGCAAGATTTACATATATACCCTCTTCCTTGACAAAGTTTAATGGAGTGTGGAGGTTAATTAACCTCATTGTAGACATGCATTTAAATAAGATATTCTGTAGTAGAAAACAAATTTTATGTATACAACAATACATCCTTCACTGTAAAAGATTCGAGTGATACAGATAAAAGATTCTCTTAGCTCATTACCCAATTCCAGTCTTATACTGAAAGTTAATAGTTACTATTACCAGTGTGAAGCGTACCCATCCAAAACTTTTTATGCACATACATACAAATCTATGTATTAATAGAAAATATGATTTTGTGAAATTAAAACTCTTTTAGCAATAATGTTTCTCTTTCTTTCTTTCTTTTTTCTTTTTGGTACCTGAAATCAAACTCAGGACCTTGCGCTTGCCAGGCAAGTGCTGTGCCACTGAGCTATATCCCTGACCCAAAGCTCTCTTTTTTTCTTCTTTTTTGTCTTTTTGACACGGTTTCACTGTGTAGTTCAAGCTGGTTTTGAGCTCACTTGTAGCCCAGGCTGGTCTCGAACTCACAGCGATCCTCCTGCCTCAGCCTCCTGAGTGTGGGGATTACAGGTGTGCACCACCATGCCTGGCTCAAAGCTCTCTTTTAAAAACCATAAAAATAATACACTTTAAATTTTCTGCATGCAAAAATACACACTGTTAATGCAGAACAATATTTCTTTAGGGTATAGATCTGTGTAGTTCAGCATCAATGAAAAAGCGAAGATTGTGCTCCCTCATGCCCTCCATCCCATAACTGGGCTACTTTGGGGACTATTACGTGTGACAATTTTTTCATCCAATCCACATTTTTATTTAAAAATTAAAGGTTTCCTGATTTCTAATTACTTGATTCTGTTTTCCATCATTTAACATAACTTTACCTACAATTATCAAAGAGGCTGCTAGATTTTCTGAATTTTGTAAAACTCTTCCAGCACTATTTTTGTTTGTTTTTTGTGGTATGGGAATTGAAACGAGGGCCTGGCACATGCTACTGTAGGCAAGTTCTCTATTACTGAGCTACATCCCCAGATTCTTCTATGTTCTATTTTGCTAAATTGCCCAGGCAATTAATTTGCAGTCCTTCTGTCTCAGCCTCCCGAGCTCCCAAGAAGCTGGAACTACAGCATGAGCCACTGCACACAGCTTCAATACTTTTTTTTTTTCAGTACTAGGGATTGAACCTAGTTCCTTTGCACTGAACTACATTTCCAGCCCTTTTTTTTAGAGTGAGATATCTCTCAAGTTTCTTTGGTCATGCCTAAAATAAGAGCAAGCCAACTCAAAGCCACATTCTCTGGTGAGCAGCTTTCAGAATCTATTCGTTCATTCTATGGGATATAAAAGAAGAAAGGATCCAAATTATGTAATTCTTTTGTTTCCTATGCAAATGATTTTAGCCTTAGAAAATCTGAAACTCAAAGTGTTCTTGATGTGAAATTGCCAAGATAGTGTGAATTAATTTATAGAGACATAAATTTCTGATAAACACAGTTTATATTACTGGTAAATAAAATATATTTGTGACCAAACTTTACTACTACAATAAGAAGGAAATAGAAGCAATGATATGAACAAGCATGATGATTTATTATTCCCCATTAATAATAATTCCATAGGGAATAATCCAGTTTTAAGTAAAATGAATATTCTGTTGGGTTATCAGTATGTTTGAGATTTGGATTCCTGTTATAGTCATATACACAAAATTATTAGATTTTGGCAGGCAAAAATTATAGTTGGGAGAGATGGAAAATATGGAAGTCTTTTCAAAATAAACTGTCCATGAGCAAAAACTGGTTATGTTATGAATACACATTTTAATTAATAAACATCTTAAGGTTTTTTTTTTTTTTTTTTTTTTTTTAGAATGTACTGGGGATTGAACTCAGTGTCTTTGCACTGAACTATATACTCAGGCCTTGTTTTTAACTTTTTATTTGGAGACGGGGCTTCATAAGTCTCTAAATTGCCCAAGCTGGGCTCTAACTTGTGTCCTCCTGCCTCAGCTTCAAGAGTGCTGAGATTACAGACTTACACCACTATGTCTAGCTAGCATTTGTTATTTTTCTTAAAATGTGATTCAATTACCTGTTTTCAAGAGAATTTTATTTACTTCAAAAATTAAGACATTTACATTACAAAATAATCAAAAGCTAGACAAGCATGAGGTTCGTCTGCTTGGGCTGGTAAAATACCACAGATTGAGTGGCTTAAACAACATGGATATATTTTCTCATAGTTCTGAAGGCTGCATATTCGAGATCAATGTGCTGGTGGGATTACATTTCAGTAAGGTCCTCAGACACCCTTTTCTCTTGTGCTGAGCTGCTGGTATCTCTTACAGTTCTTACAAGAGCACCAATCCTATTGGATTATGACCCTACCACTGCGGCCTCACTTAAGCCTGAAGGCCCCGTATCAAAAAACTGCTACAGGGGCTGGGAATTTAGCTCAGCGGCACAGTGCCTGCCCGGCAATCGCAAGGTCATGAGTTTGATCCCCGGTACCGGAGGGAAACAAAAAAACGTGCTACAAGTTAGGACTTCAAGATACGGATTTGGGGGGAACATGATCCTATCCCTCTCAGCCATTATACTTTAGTTAATACGTATATACGTGTGTACTATGTATATTTTTTAGAGGATCACACTATTTTTTGTTTGATTACTTGTGTTTTTACTTAAAATATCACGCGTATCTTTGTGTAGGAATAGATGCCTATGAGGATTTTTTTAAAGAATAGAGATGTATCGATGTTTGGATGCTCAAAACTACTCAAACAATTCTCTTTTGTTGACAGTTTAATATTCCTTTTTGCTGGTAAAGCTTTGAAATATAGAGATATAGATCTATTTCTTTAGGGTGAAGGTCTAGAAATGGAAATTCTGGGTTGGTCTCAAGGAGTGCAAACCTCTTAAAGAATTTAATACATGTCGCCACAGCCCTCCAGGAAGGCTGTATCAACCATGAACAGCAGTGTACTTGCGCCTCTGTTCTCCATCTCCCTGGCAGCGCGATAAAAATACGTATGTATTTTCAATTCTTAGCTAATTTGATTAAGGGGGGGAAAAAAGCCACCCTCGATATGTAAGACCAATGTTCCGTCATATTTTACATGGAAAGCGGAGTTTTCAGGGGCCCGGCAGAAAATAAATTTGACCCGCTCCAGCGCCGGTACTCCCAGTCGGAGAGCTGGCGAGGCGCTTTACCGCAGGAAGTTGCGCGTCCCCGTCACTCCTCAGGGGAAAGGGAATTTAGAAGTTCCTTTATGAGAAAGGGACATGCTACCGAGGGCAAGAACGACACCTCCGATGCGCTGCAAACGCTTTCAGTAAAGAGAGGCGCACCGCACCGCACGAGCGTGTGCAGGGGCGCGCCGAGACTGCGTCAGCGCGGGGGGACCCGGGCCGCGCGCCGTCCCACAATGCTCCGCTCGCCCGCGCCGCCCCGGGGGGAGGAGAGGACCTCCGCCGGCCGAGCGGCGGGAGTGCGCACGCGCACTGACCCCGGCGGGCCCTAGCAACCAGAGCAGTGACAGTAGCAACCGCTGGAATGGTGAGTACCCTCCGGGCCTCGTAGCCAAAGCCGAGAGGAGACTGAGAGTGGAGCAGGATGGCTGTGAAGTCCTGAGGGCGGCAGGGCCCTCGAACGCTAGAAGGGAGCCCGCAGCGCGTGCTAGCTCCGTGGAGTCAGCGGCCTGAGGCGAAAGGGAAGGCCGGGCGGGGGACGACGGTCTGGAGTGAGGATGGCCCGGGGCTGATTGCAGGTCGGGTTAAGGTGGAGGACTCTGGACTGCAGAGAAGCGAGGATGAGGAGCGGCTCGGAGTGGGAAGGGAATTGTGGATAGATAGCTGTGTACATAGCAGTCGTTTCAGTTGCCCTCAGCCCTGGCGAGGCGGGGAGGGACGTCGCCGCTTACGGGAGGGGTCCGTGAGCCCCGGCAGCACCAGTGTTCACTCCTAACCGAGCCTGCCTTGAGTGCAGTTACCGCAGAACCCTTGCAACCCACTCGGACGGATACATGAGAGCCGTGCTTTTCAAATTTAAGTATGTGTAAGTGTGGGCTTGTTGGGATGCGGATTATGAATGTTTAATATGACTTGGGGGTTCAGGAACGTGGCATTCCCACAACGGACCTCAGTGATTTTAAAATTGGGATCGTCCCATCACGTTTTGAAGTCTACTAGTGATCTGTCAGAGTTTTTATGAAATAATGGTTTCACCTGGTGCTGCTCCTCATCTCCTACATAGAGTGTGCACTCTCTTTCTGATCTACTTAGTAGTTTCAAAAGGACTCAGACAGAACTACTTAGCTTTGATTGTTTTGCTGGGTACAGATATTGATAAAGAGTAAGTATTGGGGCTGAGAGCGTAGTTTAGCGGGAGAGCACTTATCTAGCGTGCAAGAGGTCCTGGGTTCAACCCCCAGCACTGCAAACAAGTGAACAAAAATACAGCAGCTAAAACAATATAATTAGCAGTCTCGTGTGTGTGTGTGTGAGTGTGTGTGTGTGTGTGTGTGTGTGTGTGTGTGTGAGAGAGAGAGAGAGAGAGAGAGAGAGAGAGAGAGAGAGAGACCAATGCTGTAGAAGTGGGCAGAAATTGATTAGAGGGGATTAAAACGATGAGGAAAGTCATGCCTGCCTTCAACCACAACATTAAATGCCACTCTTTTAAGAGTAGTTTCTCCCAAAGCTATCCAGTATTTAGTTGAAATCTACTGTTAAGGAAAGTAAAAAGTTTCAGATCTTAGGTGAAAAAAAGACTCTGCCCTATGGAATTCTGAACTGAAGGGATAATTAAAGGTCTTCAAGTAAGAACAGAACCAGTCATTAGATGAATCCAGCTGAAGCCGCAAAGGGTAGTTCTGGGGAGCTCCAGAAATACAAGCGCACATCACACATACTATTTAAACTTTTTTGGGGGGTCTTTTTCCATTACCGGGGATCGAACTCACAACCTTGTGCTTACCGGGCAGGCACTGTGCCGCTGAGCTAAATCCCCAGCCCCTTATTTAAACTTTTTAAAAAGTGGCTCCCAATGTCTTACAAATCGTATTTCATATTAAAACTCAGGTTTTTGGCCTCTGAAAAATAAAAAATGCCATGTTTCACCATTGGACACATTTCTTCGTGTTTTAGCAGTACTAAAGTACAGTTTCATATAGTTGGCAGTATCATTTCTTAATGCGACATGAAATAAGAGTGTTGCTTACCGTTAGTGAAGTTTTCATAATTCTTCTCTCCAGGTTTCACCTGCCAGCCATTATCTGGAGCTGAGTGGAGCTTAACTCCTTACACGGGCTCTATCCTTACCTGACTAGCTTTACCTATTAGTGATGTCTACTTGGTCCTTTAGGCATTTGAGTTTTTGATTCCTACTATTTATAAGGGGAATCACTGACCTATACGAGCTTATCGTGCCACAGTGAACAGCTAGATTGCTTCTATTTCCACAAACAATGATATGAAATTGTTCTTTTATGTATCTTTTTATGGATCCATGCAAGGATTTCTCTGGGAAATATAATTACATTGTTATAAATTGCTCAGTTATAAGGTCTGCCAACACTTAACTTCCCTTAGGCATTATCAGACCACTAAACTACACCCTTAGCTCTTTTTATTTTGTTTTGAAGCAGGATTCACTAAATTTCCCAGGCTGGTCTGGAACCTGCAAACTTCCTACTCAAGTCTTCTGAGTAGCTGAGGTTATAAGCACAAGTCGCCATACCCAGTATCATAACATCAGTTCTTGAAAGCTTGTTAGAAGTCGCTTGTAAACTGTCTAGGTTTGGAGCTTTAAGAGGGGAGAATAGGAGTAAAGCTGTTTATTTAATTTTTTTATTTTAAAGAGAAAAGAACAAAAACAAATTAACAAACACAAAGACATAAAACAACACAAAAACAAAAGATACAAAATTTCAAACAAGATGATAGGAAATTAACAATGGTTGTTGTATTACAAGTTGTTATCTTCAAACTGGTTACTCAGATAACCAGATATAGGCATGTAAGAGTGATTATTTATTTTGATTTTTAAGTAATATGAGCCTATTATAATTTTGTGATTCTTTTTGAGAGTTTTGACACTTCTGTGTTTTTTTCTAGAAATGCATACCTTGTCTAGGTTTTAAAACTATTTTGCTCATGATATTTTTTAAATGTCTGTGTTATATATTTTTTCCCCTTATTTGTTCTTTATTTTTAATTTGTAATACTTCCTGGTGGGGGAGATACCAGGATCAGAAAAGTGGTGTCTCCAGGGCAAGGCTTCTCCATTGCATTCCCATTTTTAATTTTGTATATCTCTTGTTTTGGTTCAGTCTTGCAAGATATTTAAGAACTGTCTTGCAATTTTGTTAATCATTTCACCTCTCTGTTCTGTTCTGTTTTGTTTCGTTTTGTCTTTGCTTTTTGAGACAAAGTCTCCCAATGTAGTTCAGGCTGGCCTTGAGCTCACTGTATAGCCCAGGCTGGCTTCGAACTCAAAGTAATCCTCCTACCTCAACCTCCTGAGTGCTGGGATTACAGGAGTGCACCACCACACCCAGCTGTTCAGATTTTCATTGATTTTGTCCTTTGTATTTCCTTCTGTCTTCTTTGAATATACAATGATGTATTTTGAAAAATGTCTTGAATCCTTAACTCATTTGTTTTTAATCTCTTGCTTTAAAATTTTTATTAATATTTTTGTGAAACATAATAATTATGTTCATCTTGGGAAATTGGTACTTCTACATATGGCACCTTGATCATTTTTATTCTCCTTTTCCCTGTCTCCTCTTCCTCCTTCCCAGCTTCAAAAAGTCTATCTTCCATTTTCCTATCATCTTTCATTTATTTTCTTTTAAGATTATTTATATTTTGGGGTTTTTATGTAGGACAAATGTTGTGATATTTAACCACCTGTGTCTAATTTATTTCATTTGGCATTATTGGTCGAAAGATCCATCCATTTTCCTACAGATGACTCAAATTTACCCTTCTTTGTGTCCAAATAGTACTCCCTTGTACGTATATTCCATATTTTCTTTATCCATTGATGGGCATATTCGATGCTTCCGTAATTTGGCTATTCTGCGTTATTATGTTGCTATAAACGTGGGTATGCATGTAGCACTGTAATAGGATGACTTTAACTCTTGGAGGCAGGTTTCTTTCTTAGTGTTACATTTCTCAGTTTATGATATCTTTAAATTTATTTTATATATTTTTTGATGCAAGCATTATTTATCAGTACATATTTACTTCCTAGATATGATATCTTTTAAAACTTTCTTTTTATTATTGTTTAGGGTTCATTTTCTTTCAGTGAACTCCAGCAGTAATTCATGAAAGACATCTCCCCTTGTGTACTTTCAGAGTTTTATATAAATATTAAATTGAATCTAAGATGATATTGATTATAAGGAGCAACATTATTTCATATTCTAACACTAACAAAAATAAATTAGAGTAAATTATGACAATTTTTTTTTGAGACAGGGTCTTTCCATGTCATTCAAGCTGGCCTTGAATTCACTGTGTAGCCCAGACTGGCCTCAAACTTGCAGTGATCCCTTAGCCTCAGCCTGCCCAGTGCTGAGATTACAGGTGTAGGCTGCCATGCACCAAGACAAATGCTTTCTTATCATTTGGAATTTTTATTTTGTACTTAATGACACAGTTTTTGTTTTTGCAGTGCCAGTTTTCTACTCTAGGACCTCACATGTGCTAGGTAACAGCCGTTCCACTGAACTACATCCCCAGCCCTCTTTTTACTTTTGAGGCATGGTCTTGCTTAATTGCCCAGGCTGACCTGGAAATTGTGATCCTCCTGCCTCATCCTCTCAAGTAGCTGGGATTACAGGCATTCACCACCACATCTAATATATGAGTTCTTTTAAGTATTTTAGACTTACAGGTGTTTGTCATATGTCACCCTTTGTAAACATGTGAAGGAATATATGTCTCTGAAATAAAACTATCAGTACTTTCCTAAAAGTTTACCAGTACCATCCTGCCACAGCAATTGTAAATTGTTCTTGGTTATAGCATGCAAACAAATTTCAGTGTCAAGATGGGAAAATAAATGAATGTAGGTCTTAAAATCAATGAAATAAAATATATACTAATATCAGCTTTTGAAAGTTATGTACTTTTTGTAAACCATGTGAGAATGAAATATATGGGCATTACGTAATGATTTTCTTATTTTCTCTGAGAGGTATTTGAAGAAGTTCTGATTTCAGAGACGAAAACACCATCTTATCTGTAAAGTGTCAAAGAAAGAAATTAATGATTTTAATGGTAGAAGCTGAGGTTAGTAACTATTCCATAAAAATTAAATCAATAAATCTCACTAATAAAGTCAGCCTTGTTTCTTTTTCTCTTTCCTCCTCTTTTTTTCTAAGGCAAAAGCAACAACAATCAAAGAAGCCTTAGCCAGATGGGTGAGTATATGAGTTTTTCTTTCTTTTAGAAACCATACAAGGAAAATTTGTAGTTATGTAAATCTGACCATTCAGTGTAAGGGCTCCTTTGGAAATAGAACTGTTCTGTGGTAGTGGATGCCTGAACCCCTACATATTGATGCAGTTGCATAGGATTTCATCAAGGGCTGTAGCTCTGTGGTAGAACATTTGCATATTATGGGCAAGGCCCTAGATTCAATCATACACTACTACTACCATAACAAAAAACTGTATGGGGCTTAATACGTACACGTGTATACATATTCACAATACTAATGAGCCCAAATAAATTCAGGAATATCTGAATAAAGTTGATGGATTTTACTAATAGTAATACCTAAGTTATAAACTACTATAGTTTACAGAATAATGTCCTCCGAGGAGACGGGGCAAACTGTACAAGGTATCTCTCTGGGTTCTTCTGTTTCTCTTAGGATACTGAGAATTGAACCAGGATTTTGCATGTTCTAGGGAAACACCCTACTGCTGAGCTACACCTCCATCACTTGCATTATTGTTTCATAACTGCAAATGCACCATAAATATTTCAGATAAAAAATTCTGACCAGTTGAAAATTTAATAATGAAAAGGTTAAGTCTTCTATTGGTATAAACTGACTGAAATGTTTGTGTTACATTACATTCTCTGTTTCAACTCTGTCATCATTAGACTATATGTCATTTTAAAGTGGCAGGGTGATGTGTTGTAGATTATCTAGGCCAATGGTGGCAAACTTAGGGCATGCATGCTGCAGCAGAATGGTTGGCATCACTGAAAGCTAAGAAGGCTCACCATATCTGGTCTAGGCTGTAGTTAGAAAATGGTTTTAGCCCCATAGAGAGGAGAAAAAACAGACAGACAATGTAGACAAAGGTAAATCACATAGACAACTGAAAGAACATGGAGGAAAAATACTAATTTATATAGTAACACTAGGGAGGAAACCACACTGTAAAAAAACATACATTACACACTATAAATATTTTATAATTTCCAGAGTTGTAGTTCAGCATTTTAGAAGAAATTTGGATAGATTATATAGATGTCTCTTGAATTTCTGTATCCAGTAATAACTTCTTTGTTTATGCTATGTAGTTTGTTTAATAATAGTGAACACTTTGCTTCTGTAGGTAGTTTGAATAAAAAAGTCTTTCAGGAGTAAAAAAGTCTTGCTATCTAGTGAACAGAAAAAAAGTGAATTGAATAATGAAACATTTTCATTCTTGTTTTAGTACTTATAAATTTCTTGTATACTCTGATTGCATTTTTAAAGTTCATTTCTGTTTGATTAAATATCTGATAAAAATGTTTTATTTTTTAAAAGTAGTATGGAATAGACTCAGATTTGATTTTCCTTGAATTAAATTTTAGGATTTTATCTTATTTATTTTTAATAACTAGTGGAATTTTTGTTTTTTCTTTTGGCTTATAACTTCCATTTCTGGCTTATATTATCACCATCAGCCTTTGACTTTAAGATTGTTTGAAGGCATCAAGCTCACTCTTTCATTGATTAATTCAATATTTATTTTCTTTAACATTAAAAAAAGTCTTCATGACACATAATTGTACATGTTTGCGGAGGGTAACAATGTGACATCCATCACCTCAAACATTTATCATTTCTTTTTTTCGTCAAAAATTTTTATTTTATTTTAGGTATATATAATAATCACATTCATCATAGGGAATTTGCATGTGTACATGATATAACTTGATTCTTTTTTTTCTCATTCCCTTACCTTCCCTTCAGCCCCCTTCCCATCTTTATTTACAAAAGCTGTTGTTTCCATTTTTATCCTCCTTTTCTCATTTTTTAACTTTTCCTTTCCTTCCTTCCCCCCTCCATTGTTCCACTTCCCCTTTGAACATTTTCTTCCTATTTCACAGTACCTATTATACATTTTGGTCCTGACTTATACTTTCAAATTCTCACACTGGAGAAATAATGTGGTATTTACACTTGTGTCCAATTTATGCCACTTAAGAGTATAGTCCCAAGATGCATCCATCTATCTAGAAATGTCTCAAGCTTATCCTTCTTTATGGTAGAGTAGTATTCCATTGTACAAAAAAAAAACACATCTTCTTTATCCATTCACCTGTTGATGAGCATTTGGGCTGTTTCCAAGATTTGGCTATACAAACTGTGCCACTATAAACATGGGTGTGCATGTGTTGCTGTGGTATGATGCTTTTAATTCTTTCAGAAAGATACCAAGAAGGGGAATAGCTGGGTCAAATGAAAATGCTAGTCCTAGTCTTTCGAGGCTCTCCACACTGATTTCCACAGTGGCTGTACCAGTCTGTGCTCCCACCAACAGTGGGGAAATGTTCCTTTCCCTCACAGCCCCACAAGCAGTTGTTATTGGTTGATTTCTTGGTAATGGCCATTTTTTCTGGGATGAAATGAAATCTCTGTGTTGTTTTAATTTGCATTGCTTGAATGACCAATGATGTTGAACATTTTTTCCTATATTTATTTGCCATTTCTTTATCTGAGAAGTATCTATTCATTTCAGATGCTCATTTTTGTTTTTTTGGGTTTTTTTAATCTTTTTGAGACAAGGTCTCGCTATGCAGTTCAGGCTGGCCTGAGCTCATTTTGTAGCTCAGGCTGGTCTCAAACTCAGAACAATCCTCCTGCCTTAGCCTCCTGAGTGCTTGGATTACAGGCATGTGCCACCATGCCTGGCCAGATGCTCATTTTTTGGATTGGGCCTTTTAATTTGGGGGGGGTGCTGATTTGATTGAATTCTATATATATTCTATATTGTAATCCTTTGTCTGAGAAACAGCTGGCAAAAATTTTTTCTATAAAAGGATTGTGAGTTGTCTCTTCACTATGTTGGTTGTTTCTCTTGTTGTGCAAAAGCTTTCTAATAAGATGAGATCCCAGTTGTTGATTCTTTGTGATAGTTCCTGTGCAATTGGGGTTTTGTTCAGAAAGTCTTTGCCTACACCAGTGTCTTCAAGAGTTCTACCTATTCTCTTTTCCAGCAAACTTAGTGTTCCTGTTTTAATATTTAGATCCTTGATCCATTTTGATTTTAGTTTAGTGCATGGTGGAAGATATGGGTCTAATTTTAATCTTCAGCATATGGAAAGCCAATTTTTCCAGCACTGTTTATTAAAGAGGATATCTTTCTTCCAGTGGAAGTGTTTGGCACCTTTGTCAAAGGGGATGGCTAAGCGTGTGTGGAGTTGTTTCTGCATCTTCTGATCTGTTTCATTGATCCTCAGTTCTGTTTTTTTTTTTGTTGTTGTTGTTTGTTTGTTTACTTTGCCAGCCCTATGCTGTTTTTATCACAATAGCTTCATAGTATAATTTAAGGTCCAGGATTGTCATGCTCCCTGCCTTACCTTTGTTGCCCAGAATTGTCTTTGCTATTTTAGGTCTCTTCTGGTTCCAAATGAATTTTAAGATTGTTTCCTCTAATTCTGTAAGACATGCTGTTGGAATTTTGATTGGGATTGCATTAAATCTGTATAACAATTTTGGAAGTATGGCTATTTTCACTATATTGGTTCTTCCTACCCAAGAGCAAAGGATATCTTTCCATTTTCTGATATCCTCTCTGATTTCCATTTTCAGAGTACTGTAGTTTTCAATTTAGAGATCTTTTACTTCCTTCATTAGATTGATTCCTAGGTATTTCATTTTTTGGATGCTATTATGAAAGGTGTTGTTTCCCTAATTTCTCTCTCAGTGAGTTTGTTATTCATGTATAGGAAGGCTATTAATTTTTGAGTGTTGTCTTTGTATCCAGTTACGCTACTGAATTTGTTTATTAAATCTGTAAGTCTTTTGGTGGAGTTTTTGGGGTCTTCTATGTAGAGTATCATGTCATTCATGAATAATGATAATTTAACTTCCTTTCCTATCTTTTTTTCATTTATTTCTTTCTCTTTCCTAATGTCTCTGGCTAATGTTTCCAAGTACGATATTGAGTAAGATTGGTGACAGTGGACAGTCCTTGTCTTATTCCTGATTTTTGAGTGAAAGCTTTTAGTTTTTGTCCATTTAGTGTGATATTGGCTGTTGGTTTGTCATAGATGGTGTAATGGTTGATACATTCTCTCAACTTGAGAAGTTTAGAAGCTAAGAGACTCAGCAGGATGTCAAGGTCCTCATTTTGTGAACATCCTGAGTCTGTGCAAGAGGAGGGCAGAGAGATGGTGTGGGTGTAAAGGACCCACCCTAGGGTGGAGAGCCTGCATACAATATAAGGGAGGAGAAGAGGCTTCTCCCCGCCTCCTTTTTGCTCTTGTTGCTTTTACTGTCTTCTGCCTCCTTGAACTGTTGCCCTGCCTTGGAATCAGCTGAACCTCTACAAACTGGAAGCTAAATAAACTTTTCCCTCTTTGATTCAGGTGTTAGGTATTTTGTTTCAGCAACAAGAGAAAAGTATCCAAGACAGATGGCTTTTATCAGATTGAGATGAAAACCATCTATTCCAATTTTTTGTAGTGTGTTTATCGTGAGGGGGTGTTGAATTTTGTCAGATACTTTTTCTGCATCTGTTGAGATGATCATGTGGTTTTTGTCCTTGGCTCTGTTAATTGGTGTGTTACATTTATTGATTTGCATATATTGAACTATCCCTACATCCCTGGAATGAATCCTACTTGGTCATGGTGTATAATCTTCTTGATAATTTGCTGCATTCTGTTTGCCAATATCTTATTGAGGATTTCTGCCTCTATGTTCGTTAGGGAGGTTGGCCTGTAGTTCTCTTTCTTAGTTGGGTCCTTCTCTGGTTCTGGTATCAGGGTAATGCTCCCTTCCAGGAATGAATTTGGGAGTCTTGCTTCCCTTTCAATTTCATTAAAGAGTTTGAGAAGTAGTGGTGTTAAGTCTTCTCTAAATTCCTTGTAGAATTCAGCAGTGAATCCTTCAGGGCTTGGGTGTTTCTTCGTTGGTAAGATTTTAATTACATCTTCAATTTCATTGACTGATACTGGTTTGTTTAGAATTTTATATCTTCTTGATTCAGCTTTGGTAATTCATATGTATCTAGGACTCTGTCCATTTCTTCTGTATTTTCCATCTTATTAGAATACAAGTTCTTGAAGTACGTATAGATGATCTTCTGGATTTCTGTAAGATTTGTTGTGATTTCACCCTTTTCATTCCTAATTGCATGGATCTGAGTCTTTCCTTTTTTTCATAAGGTTGGCTAAGGGTTTGCCAATTTTATTTAATCTTTCAAAGAACCAACTCTTTGATTCACTGATTCTTTGTATTGTTTTCTTAGTGTTCCTTGCATTAATTTCTACTCTGATCTTTATAATTTCCTCCCTCATATGAGCTTTAAGCTTGACCTGCTCTTCTTTTTTAGAAGGTTAAGGTTCAACATTAAGTTGTTTACCTGAGCTCACTCTGTTTTCCTGATATGGGTATTCACCACTTTAAATTTCCCTTGCAGGATTGCTTTCATTGTGTCCCATAAGTTCCTGTATTTTGTATTGACATTATCATTTAATTGTAGAAATTATCTAATTTGTTCTTTAATTTCATCTGTGACACATTGGTTGTTCAGGAGGGTGCTATTTAATTCACATGTGTTTATGCAGTCCTCATGGTTTATTTTGCAATTAATTTCCAATTTCATTGCACTATGGTCTTATAATATTCATGGGATAATTTCAGTTCCTTTGCATTTACTTAAGCATATTCTGTTTATGAGCTACTATCTAGTCTATTTTGGATAATGTCCCATGTGCAGCTGAGAAGAATGTATATTCTGATGTTGTGGGGTTGAACACTCTGTAGACATCTACTAAGTCCATTTATTCAAAAGTTTCATTCAATGCTAATATTTCATTTTTTATTTCTTTGTCTAGAAATCATTTTTGATTTCTTTGTTTGTGACAGTGAGGTATTGAGGTCCCCCAGTACAATTGTACTACTTACTGCTTATTTGATTTTTCATGTCCACTAATATTTGTTTTATATAGTTGGGTGCACTGGTATTTGTTGCATATATATTTATGATTGTTATCTCTTCCTCTTGGACTGTTCCCTTTACAAGGAGATAGTGACCTTTGTTCTTCGTCTCTCTCAGTCTGTCTTGGTTTGAAGTCCACTCTGCAAATAGAGTAGCTACCCCTGCCTTTTTTTGGTTCCTGTGGCATGGAATATTGCTTTGCACCCTTTGACTTGCAGTTTATGAATTTCTTTTTGAGTTAAATATGTTTTAATGTATGCAGCATATTGTTGGATCTTGCTTCCTGATCCATTCTCCTAATCTTTTTTCTTTTGATTGATGAATTGTGACCATTAACATTAATGGTTATAACTGATATGTATTGACTTACCTGGTCATGTTATTTTCCAGTTGTTGGCTCCCTTTTCTCCCCCCTCTGCTTAATTGCTTGCCTTGCCTGGTGGATTCTTTCTCTTGGGGTTCTTGGAATTGTAATCCTTGTTATCTCTCTCTCTCTAGAATGACCTTCAGATCATTTTGGAGTGCTAGTTTGTTGTTTATGAATTTCTTCAGGTTTTCTTTGTCATGGAAGTATTTTGTTTCTCTATTTTGAAAGATAGTTTTACAGAATATATCAATCTGGTTTGGAGGTTGTTTTCTTTTAGAGCTTGAAATACTTACTGCAAGCTCTCCTTTTCTTAAGGATTTGTGTTGAGAAGTCGGCTGTGATTCTGCTGGGCTTTCCTTTATAGGTGATTTGTTTCTTTTCTCTAGTGGCTTTTAATAGTCTGTTGTTTGTTGAATTTTTGGAATCTTGACTATTATATGCCTTGCTGTAATATTTTTATCATGGCTAATTGGAGTTCTGTATGCCTCATTTATCTATACATCATATTCTTTTTCCCTGCCAGGAGAGTTTTCTGCCATGATGTCTGTGAACAGGTCTTTTATGTTCTTTGCTCTATCTCCTGCTTTTTCATTGACTCCAATCAACCTTGTGTTATTCTTTGCATCATCTAGCAGCTGTTGGCTTGTATCATTTCTTTGTGGTAGGAACATTCAGAATCTTCTTACAGCTCTTTGAAATATAAAACATTAGTGTTAACTCTAGCCATCCTGCTGTGCTGTAGAACAGTGGAACTTATTCCCCTTATCTCACTGTAATTTGGTACTGTTTCAGTGTGTTTGTTTTTGGTATCAGGACTCAAACTCAAGACCTTGTACTTGCCTTGCAGGTGCTGTGTCACTGAGCTATATCCCTGGCCCAGTGTCATACTGTTGACCAAACCTCTTTTTATTCTTCCCTCCCTTCCCCTCTTTCCAGCCTCTGGTTACTACTATTCTGCTCCCACCTTCCATATATGAGTAAGAATGTGCAGTGTTTTTATTTCTGTGTCTGGCACATTTTACTTAAAATGAATGAGTCTTCCAGGTCCATTCATGTTGCCACAAATGATAATCTCACATTTATTAAAGACTGACTGAGTGTTAGTTTCCTGTTTCCTAATTCCCAAATGTAGGGTACAAAAATAAGTATTGCATGAGTATCTTAGGTCTCTTTTGTCCAACTAATTGCATATTTTCTATTTTTGATGTGTGATGATCTGATTTTTTAAATGAGCCTGTTCCATGTCTTATACTGCTCTAGGCTATAGGAAATATAAGAAAGCAAAGGAAACAGTCCCTGAGCTTCAAGTTCTGTTAGGATGATAGAACTAACTCTTAAGTAATGCGGCAGTTAGAAAATATTAATAGGTGACATATGCTGGGAATTAAAATTATGTGCTTGTTACTAGAATTAAACTCTAAGGCAGGATATAGTAGTTAATTAGAGTAGAGCAGATAGCTTCAGTCACAGCTGTATGGAAAGAGAGTGTCTTTTAAAGTTCTTATTACCTTGGTATTCTAGTTTAAGTTGAACTGTGCATAGAAAAAAAGATGAGATGACAAAAAGTTGATCCTACAGGTATGAATCTGACATTTAAGTAAAGGACTTTTTATTGACAAGGAATTCTTTTTAAGAAGATGTTTTTATTATATTTTGGTCTTGTTTATTAATCAAAACACTCTTAAATAAATTATCTTAAATATTGCAAAAATAAAGTTATTATCTTTTCTTCTTATGTTCATTTGGAAAGGTAATAGTCACCTTATTCGGCCATGTGAAAGCTTTGTTATTAGGGTCAGCAATTAAAGATTCCAATATAATGGTCGTGCATGATGGCACACACCTGTAAGCCCAGCACTCAGGAGGCTGGGGCAGGAGGATCACTGTGAGCTCAAGGCCAGCCTGGGCTACATGGTTAGTTCAGGGGCAGCTGAGCTATACATTGAGACCCTGTCTCAAAAAACCAAAAATAAATAAATAAATGTTCCACTCAATAAATGGTGAATACTTCTTAAACAGTTATTAAATTCTAATAATTGAAAGGCCTTGGGAAATTCTGGCCTCTTGTTGCACATTACAACTAGGAATCATGTTGTTCCAAATTAATTTTCCCACAGGAAGAGAAGACTGGTCAGAGGCCATCTGAAGCCAAAGAGATAAAGCTTTACGCCCAGATCCCTCCAATAGAGAAGATGGACGCCTCCTTGTCCACACTCGCTAACTGCGAGTAGGTGTTCTTTTCTCATCCTTTCAGTGTTGCTATCAAGTTTCCCTTCCTTCTGTTAAACATGCAAACTAGGATGTATTTGTTTTCTGTGATTTTAATTTATGTGTTTTTCTTGGTTTATTTTAATTTCCTTTTGGCAAAATCAAATGTGAAAGATTATTGCTTTATAAGATTATTAATAGAGTAATATTGAGCAGTACAGTATTTTTTCTGTACAATTTTTATATGTTTGGAAATAGAAATTTCCCAGTCTTTTGGGAGAAGCTAATAAGTAGCACAATAAACTCTTACTCTGACATTAAGTCTGCTCCTCTTATGTAATTATCCACCAAAGTCAGAACTGCTTACTTACTTGATACCTAAGATAATCCTAATTTTTAAAAAATTCTCAATTCAAATTACACTTATTTTGTAATCCTATTATCTATGACATTATGTACCAGATCTATACTGATTCATTTTCATTTATTTTCTACATATTATACAAAAAATTTTAGCAGGATTTGGTGACTAAGTTGAGAGAATTACCTTATAACCATATTTTTAGGCTCCAGTATCTCTTCTCAGGGTTCTTGAATACCATATGTCAGTCCCTGACGTTCTTTCTGATGTCTTCACCCTGCATTTGATACACTCTAGGATGTTTTTTGGCTTCAGGCATGTTTTTAAAGTAGTGATGAGGCCGGGAATATAGCTCAGTGGAATCGCACCTGCCCGGCAAGCACAAGGTCCTGAGTTCAATTCCCGGTACCAAAAAAAAACTAACAAGTAAAGTAGTGATGAACCTATAGTGTTTTTGTTTTTCTTTTAAGACAAAAGATGTTAATATATGGTTGTTTTTTCCTAAACTAAAATATCAGTATTCGGGTTTAATTGGAGTGTTGTCACTTTGCAATAAATAAGTGAGTTTTGGGTTGCAGTTTAGGCATTTATCTCTAAAAGGTTCACCATCATTGTTTTAAAGTATTCAATATCTTTTTATCATAAAGCCACCTCACAGGCAGACTTGAAGCTTTGTTTTCCATATCAAAGAACCTTACAAATCACTTAAAGAGAGTCCAACTGTTTATATTTGTGGTGACACTCTTTTGGCAGGCTGCCTAAACAAAATTAAAGAATTATTTTCTAACCATATTGCTAGATTTAAAAGGACTCCATTTTCCACTGGTAGTTCTCAGGAGTCAGGGATGACTAAAAATATACAGATCTGCGCAGTTTCTCCCAATAGGTAGTAACTTTTTTCTGCTTCAAGCAGGTGAAAAATGAGCAAGGTGCACGAGAGTCAGACTCAGCTAGGTTATAACCTGGGCCCTGTCACTTTGTGGCTGTGTGATATTGGGAAAATTGCTTAACTTCTTTGTGCTTAAGTTTCATTTGTAAAATATAAATAATAGTTATCTCAAAAGACTGTGATAGTCAAAATAGTTAATACATGTGAAGTATTTAGATGAGTACTTGGACACACACTGAGTGTTCAACAGAACTAGCCTTTCTTAGCATGAAATTTACTGAGATATTAAACATTTTAATCCAGAAAGGATGAGAAAGAATGTATAATTATATTCCCTTTAAATACTTTGTTTTTATATAATTAAATATAAATAGGATGATATATACAAACTATTAAAAATAAATATCTCTGGTGAAATGTGTGGACCAATTAAGATTACACCTTTTTCAATATACATTTCTGAATGATTTTACACATGAAAAAAATATAGCCCCATAAATGCATGTACATATTCCTGGGATATCTTCCTAAATCAGTATGTGTAGCCCAATCTCTCTCTCTGTCTGTCTCTCTCTCTTTTGTTTTGTTTTTTTTGGTTGAGACAGAGTCTTGCTGTGTAGTTCAGGCTGGCCTAGAACTCACTGTGTAACCCAGGCTGGCCTCAAACTCATGGCAATCCTCTTGCCTCAGCCTCCCCGAGTGCTGGGATTACCAGCATGTGCCACCACATCCAGCAAATCTTTTTTTTTTTTTTTTTTTTTTAGTGGCAGAATAGTATTTCATTATCTTTTCCTGAGTTAACAGGTTATTGTCAATTTTTCTGCTATTGCTATATATATATTTGGTATATCTTTCAACATTTGTGTTAGTATTTTAGTAGGATGTATTCCTAGAAGTAAGGTTAAAGCATACATTGTTAATATTTTTGATAACACAGAATTGCTCTCAGAAATGTTTTTTGTATTTTCTATAATGAATCTGTATTAACTTTTATAATCAAAGAGAGAAAAAGATTTCAAAAATGAAAGGATAAATTCCAAGACAAAAAGAGAAAGGAGGATTTAGTGTCAAAAAGAAATATGTCTTAAGTATTTGTGTTATATTATACAGAGTTTCTGATATATGAGTTTTTCATATTAATTCCATTTTTTCTTTGTTCTTTCAAAGGAAGCTTTCACTGTCTACAAATTGCATTGAAAAAATTGCCAACCTGAATGGCTTAAGTAAGTGATCCACATTAACATATTTTTAAAATTTTTCTAGTTACTGGAATAAACATTCTGAAGACATTATATAATTCCAGAAGCAGGCACCTGTTTTAAACACAGTGAATATATAAACCAGGTGTTCTTAAATTTGATTCTCCAAAGAAAATTAGAGATTACCTGAGACCTAAACATTTTAAAGATCTTTTAAAGCTTTTTGTAGAATTAAAATTGAAATGACCTAATAGAAAATCAGACTTTATTATCCATTTCTCCGTGCACGCTGGTTTTGTATGTATTTCAAACTTGTTATATCTCAAATTTAATTCCTCACCATCTGTTTTCCCTCTGTTCTTGATCCTGCTCAATGACGTCACCATCACCCGGTTACCAGGCCCCGACTCTTAGTGAGTTTGACAGCTGCTGTAATTTGGCAATGCAGAGCAACAGAAATTTATTTGGAGATCAGAAGTTGGAAATAAGTTCCACTGAGCCCAAAGGAGCTACACTCCCTCTGCCGGAGAACTTCTTGCCTCTTTCATTTTCTGATGGCTGCTGCAGTCCTTGGCTCCTGACTATCTTCCAGTCTCTGCCTCCATGGTGGAATTGCCATCTTCTGTTCTGTCTGGATCGAAGCTCTGCTCTGTCCTCCTCCTGAGGATATATGTGCCCGCATTTGGGGTGCTCCTAAATAGTGAAGTAATGTTGTGTCCCCATCTCAAGACCCTTAATTTAATCACACCTACAAAGTACTTTTTTCCACATAAGTAATATTCACAGGTTCCAGGGATTAGAATGTAATTATCATTTGGGGATTGAACCCAGGGCTTCACATACGCTAGGCAAGTGCTGGTATTACAGATGTGCACCACCATGCCCAGCTATTCTTTAAAGAAATTCTTAAATAATTTGTTGCTTTTCCATTTCAAGGAGTTGCAAGTTGAATTTAGAACCATATTAGCTTCTTTTTTTTTTTTTTTTTTTTTT